TTTTTTTGCACTTGCGTTTTGGAAATATTTCAATCCAAAACAAAAATACCAAAAATTGCTAATTAGTGTGTCCGCAATGGTAGAATTGTTGGTTATTATATAATTTTTTTGACAGGCAGGTATTTTTCAGCGTGGAAAATTTTAATAGCACAGGAATCTAACAAACGTGTTCATTACTCTTGCGCGAATGCGCTCACAGCGGCAACATCTACGTCGCTGGAATTAGTTTTAATGGGCGGAATACTCGCGAGTGCACCTCAGTCTCGAATTGCGCACAGCGACGAATTGTAAAGCGCCGAACACAATGCTTGCAACACACGTAAGAGCATTGCGTTGTCACATTATTCGTTGTTAAACGAATGAAAATTATTTCGCTGCGTTGCGAAATAAGTTCTTTTAACTCATTTTTAGAGTTGCAGTTTTGTATCTCGTTAAACTTACAAAAAAACAACAAACAAACTGTTTCTGCTCAAATTGCTCATAAAATAAAAGTTGCGAGCAAATTTAACATGACATGCGTAGCTTTTAGCTCGACGTAGATATTTGCTATTATATTTTCATTTTCCATGTCATTTTGCGGTCCTGCAAAGCGGATTATTTTTGCTTTTATTTTGTTTTAAGCAGATCAATGTCTTCTCGGGATTTTTAGCTTTCAGATAGACTCGAGAATAGTCTGTAATAAAGCGCGACTCGAGTAAATAGCACTCGCTTCATTCGCAAATGCATTTCTATCGAAATCAATGGACATTGCTGCGCTGGAGTCACGCTTTAGTGAACATTGCGTCTCTGCCTCCCGCAGTATCGACGCAGGACAAAGGACAACGAGACACAGAGCATCTTTGTGTATCGCTTCAACAGTCTGCTCAGGTTTCAGCTTTCCTACTCTCCACCAAACCAGTTCATTTAAAAGTAGTCTGCGCCAAACTCGTACGTGATGTAATTCCGAATTCGATTTATATTTATATTTTTAATTAGATTTTTTTTCATCGTAGAGCTTAAAAATTATTTGAATATAATTTTTTTCTGAACTTTTTTATATTGAAGGGTGGAAATGTGCAGAAAACGCGGTCGTTGCTGGTGTCGTTCCACCACTTTCGCAATTATCGACTAACAAGGTTGGTGTTTATTCAAGAAAAAGATTACGCGGAATTAAGTGCGGAATATTCTCGGGCGAAACCACTTACGCGGATGACGACCGAAGCGACCGACCGAAAACGTCGTGAACAAAACCACCCCTTGCCAGCCAAGAATTCCAAATTGCAAATCATTCTCCAGTCCTCCTCTCGTGTCGCTTGGCGATTGCAATTACTTGTTTTTAAGGCCCACGCGCCGGATTAATTATTTTCTTAATGAAGTATAACATCACGTACGCGCAAATGAAATTAAAATTTGAATAAAATCTTCCCACGCATAACACGCAGAAAAAAGCGTGCCAATCAAAAGGGTGAAAAATGTACGCCAAGAGTTAACAAGTGCTAATTAAAAATTTTTCATTCTAAATGTTTTCTTTGACAAAACTCGCTTTTTACAGACAAAAAAAAAAAAAGAACTCAGTCTTAAAACAACACACGCCAATTCCGTTGCTTGGCGCGCTTTCTTTACAACCAACGTTTACATTTTACATTCCGCATTTTCTTTGTCTCTCGGAATGAATAGATTACGAGTTTACGCTTGCGCCAGCGTCGTGATTATATTTAAAATCATCTTAAACTACGAGGAACTAAATGTTTGCAACTTGCGACGCGTCGTAAAGTTGACATAAACCGTTCACAATTTAATTTAATCGAGTAATACGTAAAATAGATTAATGACTTTGACATTAAAATCGAATAATAAGCATTATACACGCCCAGCGACTCAAAACAATGACTTTGAATAAGTTTAATGCTCAATATGTTAGATATTTATTACATCTCATAAATGTCATTGCGAATTATGCAAATGGATCTTAATTTCAACTTAACATTTAATAGACTACAAGGTTTTATTTTATTCGTATTCGTACGTTTTGACAAGAGTTGCGTTTGCGTTTGCGTTTGGTGCTCAACATTCATGATTAAATCGGCGCATTTAAAATTGAAATTCGTGGCGTTCGCGGAGCTCTTCTTCTTAAATAATTCGCAGACGACAAAAGGAATGTGGCAGTTGCGCTGCGCCGGCATAACAAGCGTCGGCGGAGTAGCTATTATCAATTTACAATCCGTGAGAGAGGTTGCCCCGAGCCCGGGCGCGATGTTAACGCTCCGCAAAACGCGAATGCAGAAACGCAGAAACGTAAGAGAAGACGCCGTCGTGCACAATGCGCTTTCGAGCCGCCTGCACACTTGTATCAAGCGCTCCTGCTGTGCGCGCATTAAACCTCCGACTTGCATGCATCGTTGAGCGTTGCTCAATTCTTGACTTTACCTCACAAGTGGATGTGCACGAGGCGAAATTATTCATATTGCGTTTATCGAATTTAGCGACTCAGTTTTCTAAGCAGACACTTTTTTCTACGTTATTTTATGTTAGTTTTCACTAAAATTGTTAAAACTCCAATTTAACTTGCTTATTCGATAGAGAATTGTCTGTAGATTAAGACGCTGAGATTTGTTTCTTTCTATCTGTTTTAGTTTATGAGATATTCGCAATTGAAAAAAAATGTCAAAATTTTAAAAATTTCAATTTTTAGCACTTTTAATCACATTTTACGCCCTTTTACCTTAGGATATTTAATTATTTAATATTCTGGCCTAATAGAAACTTTTCCAATCTTTCATAATCTGCTATTTGTTGGCTTCCAGCTCTTTTAGTTTACGAAATATTCGCAATTGAAAAACGCCAAAATTTGAAAAATTTCATTTTTTAGCACGTTTAGGGACATTTTTCGCCCTTTTACCCTACGATATTTATTTATTTTATATTCTAATCTAATAGAGAATTTTCCAATCTTTCATAATCTGTAATTTGTTAGATTGTATCTCTTTCAGTTTAGGAGATATTCACTATCAAAAAACCTCAAAAAAAAATCAACCTAAATTTGAAAAATTTAAGAAATAACGATACTCTTAAGTTGCCCAATTCAATTGTTATTGGCGGTTTTCGTAATTTTATAATTTTAATTTTAAAAACATAATTTCCGTGATTTTCATCCGCAGTCATTGTAAAAATTTCATTCCGTTTAATAGCAAAACAAGACGATAAATTATGTCGTTGCAATTCGGAACAATTCCAACAATGCGCCCACACAATCCACAATAGAAGCGTTACGATAAGTGGGGTGGAAGTTGAAGCAAAGTTGTAATTGTTAATACTTGTTGCGGAACGCTTGCAGTTTGCTGCATTTATGCGCACACGGCAATAAACAGTTCCGAAACGTCCAAACACCAATTTCTATAATTATATTCCAAGCAGCGCAGCGCGCTTGCACAAACAAAGCAATACTCGTCGTACAACTCGACATTTTTCCTTCAACAACGTAAAATTTATCCGACGAATGCAGTTGAAGTGTGTTCGCGGTTGCATTAATAACACGCAAACGGCATTGCATGTTGTATCTCGTGTTTGCCCGGCGCCTCCACTCGCATTAAACACGAAACGTAAGAAATTCCCGGAGTAAATTTACATTTGCCAGATACTCGACACTGGTGTATTTGCACTGATGAGTGTACACGTTATTTGCGTGCATCACGTGTAATCCGGTTTTGTTTTTAATTCGAGTGAATGCGCGTTCGATTGCGCATTGTTCTAGTTTAATCGAATTTTAAACACGCGCGGCGTGAGCTCTCTTGTTATATTGACAAAGTAATGCGAAATTCATTCGGCGCGGACACACAGAGCGGTGTGCTGTATTTGGCATGCAAATTGCCTGCAAATACTTGCTCACAAGTCGTTTTCCTATTTCTTTTCCGGTCGTGTATTGTTGTCAAAATTGACTTCTTTTGCATGCGCTAAGCGAATTTACCCACCAAACGAATAGTGTCGCAAACGGCGTTTAAATATTTAAAGATTCGAACGTTTGTATGCAACCCCCAAAGCGTTCAATTTCGTATTGAATAGCACTTTGATATTTAAGTTGGAATACGTTTTGGTAAATAGATGTTAAATAGTAATTGTAATTGTAGATTGCGGTTGTGGGTGATGGGCGTTATTAGATTTTAAAAGCGGATTGGAAATCATGGATGACACGCGTTGATTTACGTCAATAATCCCATCTGCGTGCTGCGTGTTCGTCCTTTGCGTGTTGGACATCGACGGACACCGCCGAAACAAGTCACGCATGTGCCGGCGATTTCTCATGCAACGACAATTAGCATATGCAAATGACCATTCCCCGGCAATTTGTAACTAAATTACGTCCGTCGTGCGCAGGACACCTCTATGTCACCAATTTTATCTACTGCATGTTAAAATGTATCCTTAAAACATAAAAATTAATTTTTAACAAAATTTCGGGAAATTATAGAAATTTTTTTGATTCTATTGAATATTTTGCTTTAATTATTGATTTTTTGTGTAACACTTTGTATATTTAGTATAAAGTCGTTCGTTAAGAGCTGATCCCTGGCGGGTGCCCGGAACGCCGGTCCCAATATGGATGACAAATTGCATTATCGGTTGGACCTTTACGAAAAACCAATTTCTTCGGCGTTGTTACCGCGGGCTTCGCATCCTGACGTGTCCTCTCCGCACGCTGCTCTCAATTCGAATGCGTCGCGCAACATCGCCGGCGTTTTAATGTCCTGCCCTCGGAGCGCTTTATGTCCGATGAATTCAGCGGAATTTTTTTCCGAAGACGATTTTATTATGCCGTAAAATATGTAACGCCTCGAGAGGAATTACAATCTTCGACAATACAATTCGACTTAGCGCCGAACGATTCACCGAATATTGCCCCGGTAAAAAACATGAGTCTAGACTACAAATTGATACAAATCATTGGTACATAGAAATAAATACGGTTTTTTTTCCCGAGGAGGAAAATATTAATCGAATGATAAAAGTTGATGGACATAACTTACCCTTTGTCGTCCGGAACCGCGCACAGGTCCTGAATAACTGCCATCGCCCTGACCTCTCTGGAAATGAGAGAAAAAACGTCGTGCAGTCAGAAAAGCAATTTCGTCGCGCGAATTCCACTTCGGGGACTTGCATTAAAAACATTTTTTTCCAGTCGCCAAGTGGATTTCTTCAACGAATTCATTTTAAATTTAAAAATTTGGATCGAAGATAACATCAAATGATAAAAACAGCGCCAATATTTTGCAAATAATCAACGCAATTATTTACCTATGACTAATAATTAATTTAAACATTGCACATTGTGTGGTTAAGTACTTGTCAATAGTTTGTGGATAGTAGAGGATTGAAAACGTGAGCTTTCCAACACAAAGAAATCAAGCCATGAATAGATAATAATCATCTATATAGTCTGATACTACACTGAATGAGATGAAAGGTTTGGGTTTTGATATTCAATATGATCAATTTTGATCCTCGCAGACATTGTCCTTCATCATGTCCCACAACGCATATTCGGAATTTTTAATATAAACCGCGCGCGCGGATCCAAATTTGCCCAGCGCTCACAATGTGGGCTTACGTCCTAAGCCGCATAATACAACAATGGACTCTTCGATAATACCATCCGACCTACTATCAGCCAATTCTACAAACTCTTGTGTTCACTTCAGCGATCAATAAAGCGCCAGCATCAAAGCAAGCAAGAAACAATACTATTTATACATAATAGATGCAACTATGTTAATATTTTTGTCTAATACATTATTTCACATTATTTCACAAGAGAATAATGAGTTTTATTATGATTTACTGAAAATTTTGAAAAAAATAATTAAATTTTATTTTTTTGTTAATTTTGAAACACCCTGTATATATGCTTGTTGTGTATAGCCAAAGGTAAATTTAATATCGACGCAAACTTTGATTCCGTTGAACACAAGCCCCAGCGCGTTAATTTGCCGATGGTTGAGTTATAATTAAGGTGGAGTGCGAAGGCGCCGGGCAACGCGCGACATAATTTGCACAAAGCGCCTGCCTGCTGACCGTAACACAGCTTTTTGTGAAATGTAACACTGTGTGTATGTAAGTGTTTGGGCGCACGGCGAGGTCGAGAAAATGAGAAACGCAACATAAAAGCGCGCGTTATTCGCGCTGCGGCGTCGAAGCTCGAATGATTGACACTTTTCACGTCTGAAACAACAGCTGGCCGTGATATTTCGCTTTCGACGCGGCGATAACAAAGCGAGGAATTGAAAGAAAATTGAAACACGCGCACACACGACTTGTGAGATGAAGTTGCGTTTGAGGAAAAAAATATTGAACTTCTTCAAAGGTTATATTTTTAATTTTCTCTCAAAAAATCAAAAAAATAAAATTTTTGTTTAAAAAAGTAAAAAATAAAAGATTAATTTATAAATCAAGACACGCGACACTAATACGTCAGGATTACCACCATCTTTTGTATAAATTACTGTCCGAGCCGGTCGGGTTCGTGCGTTCTTAAAGGATTCGCAAGTGATCATCGTGAGACGTGAGGATCAACGCTAGACACCTTTCTCTACGCTCCGGATTAGTTTCATATAATTAATTACTTATACAACGCCGTGAGGGACCAAAAAATTTCTTCGATTGTAATTTGAGATGAAATATTTTGAGGGAAATGTTTGCGGTATTTGGTATTTGGTTATAAAAATGGTACGGTTTATTTTTGCTCTGGTATTTATAGAATGAATGGTGAAATGTGCAATGACATACCGTACTCCTCGCTTTTCGTACCTTAGACGACCCTATCTCCCTGGTGGAGATGCCCATCTTCTTGTGCTGGCGCAACTGCACTGGATAAATGATTTGGTAGTAGTGCGATCCGATGTTGCGCACCATTTCTTGGTTTTGCGTGTATTCTCTGAGAAGTCTTTCCACCTCTCCTGAAAATTAAATAAAAAAACATTTTTTAGTCATTTTTCTTTAAAATTTAAGAAAAAATCAATTTTTTGCTTTAAAAATTATTTTAGTAACTGTATAATATTTCCACAAATATTTTTGTGTATTTTTCGTCCTTGTACACTCAAAATTTGCTCTCCCAGTGAAATTTCCAAAATAATTTGCTAAATAGTCAAGTTTTTGATCACTGAAAAAATTAAATCATCCCCACTGATGAATTGCACTTTGGCTGATGATGCGAGGGGGCGCTGGCGACAGCTTTGCGGTGCGATACCAAAACGGCGCTCGTGGAACGCAATTACGAGCGAGAAAATGTCACGGCTGGCGGATATTAGCTTGTTCCGGTGACCACAGCGCGACGGCACACATAGGACCTGTTGAAAGCCGTGCAGCCGCCCCCCGTCGTCGCGTTACTACCGTGCGACATGCACCACCGCTCAAATCACCCCTTCTAACCATATAAATGTTGCAATCAAGCAAATCAATACTTCACACATTATAAATATTCCCATCTACTAAATATATTCTCAAAATTTCTACACTCATAAATATTACTTTATGTTATGCGGTGCTAAAATGTTTATACTATAAATAATGGCGGATGGGTGAAAATAATCACGCTTGTAAACCCCTTTAGCTGGGCCCTGGCTAAACCTGCTGCTTAGAATAATAAACGTTTATTTTATGGTTCGGAGAGTAATGTGCGAAGACCGGATTATCATCGAACGTTGCGATATTGTGTTATTATACGATATTCAGGGGTTGTTTATGGAGGAGATGGCTAAATGATCCTCGCACGCATTAAAACTTTGTGTTTTAGGTGTTTACGGACGCGTTTTTTCAACGTGCGATGGCTAATCCACAGACACGTTGAGATTTTTTATTTCGAAAGTATAACTTAAGTAGCTTTAGTAAATTATGCCATAATGCGGATTAAAGATATCCGTCGGTGCTTTTTGTACATAAAAAATAATTAGGGTGCCTTTATGCGTAAATTTCAATTAAGCTAATCAAATAATTCCCCAAACGCTGGGTTGATTTGCATAATTTCAATAAAAAATTTTAAAAATTTTATTTTTTGCGTTTTAGGGTTGTAATACGTGGTGGTAAGATAAGATCGATTAATACTTTTCTGTTTTGTTGTAAGAAGTCGTTTGCCTGATTTTATTGTGCTGCGCTGAGCAGATTAACAAAAAAAGAAGCAGGAAAAAACGGCAGTGGCGCCGTGGGGTGCACGGATTCGCCTCATTTGCGGCGAGCGGCGTGTAAACAGCGCCCGAGGGGGTGACAGTTGTCGCGCCGCGGCGCTGCTAATGAAACCGCGGACATAAAACATCCCCCGATTAGTCCAATCGCCCGAGGAGGTAAAAGCGCTACAATCTGCGACTGCGACGCCCGGCGCCTTCACCATCCAAACACATTGGAATCGTCCTATCCACGCAGTAGCGACACTTCCAACGGCACCTTTATTACGAAGGAGACATTTAGCCCGGATGCGTGAACGTTTCAAGCCTTGACGGATTTACGGCGGCGCTCCGAAAAATTTCCGCTGCTTTCCATTCAGATTACTCGTGCACTTTTGCGCATACATAATACAAGCAAACTGCTTGCTCTCCGCGAGAAATCGTCCCGAGATACTTTACCTTGTCATAGAATAAGAAAAATATCACTGCAGGAGATGCATAAAAGAAGAGATTTAAGGACGAGAGTAAAATATGTACACGCTCCGAATGGGAGCGCTATAAAACATGCTCCTGCCGCGGTTTCCGTGGTTGGATACATGCACAATGTACATCCGGGCGGAGAAAAAGCGCGCGCATAGAAAATTCAGCGTGCCGGTGCGAAAAAATGAAGACGCAGGGTTTGAACTTTTTAATTATGAATGCATCAACGCGTTTCGTAAAGTTTTTCGCTTGTTTTCAGCTGTGATTTGAGCTTTCGGACATTTTTCTACTCATGGGAGACAAGCACACAACAATCACGTGTTATGCAACCCAAAAAACACATATTTGTGTAAATAATTAAATAGCTTTGAGTTTTCTTTGACTATAGGCAACTTATCATACACATGAAACATGTAGTCGTGTTTTATATGCTTTAAAACTATATTTGAAGATAATTTGAAGACGCAGGGATTGAACTTTTTAATTATGGATGCATCAACGCGTTTTGGAAAGTTTTCAGCTGTGATTTGATCTTTTATTGAGCTTTTGGACATTTTCACTCTCATGGGAGACAACCACACAACAATCACGTGTTATACAACCCAAAAACACATATTTTGTGTAAATAAATAAATAGCTTGGAGTTTTCTTTGAGTATAGGCAACTTATCATACACATGAAACATGTAGTCGTGTTTTATATGCTTTAAAACTATATTTGAACATAATTTGAAGACGCAGGGTTTGTACTTTTTAATTATGGATGCATCAACGCGTTTCGCAAAGTTTTTCGCTTGTTTTCAGCTGTGATTTGAGCTTTCGGACATTTTTCTACTCATGGGAGACAACCACACAACAATCACGTGTTATGCAACCCAAAAACACATATTTTGTGTAAATAAATGAATAGCTTTGAGTTTTCTTTGACTATAGGCAACTTATCATACACATGAAACATGTAGTCGTGTTTTATATGCTTTAAAACTATATTTGAAGATAATTACCGCACTAAAATGAATCACGCAGTGGGGAATATACAAACATACATGCGCTGCGTTAAAATGATCAACACAGAGCGGTAATTGCCAACGCGTTAATTATTTAGTAATTAATAGATTGCAGGCATTGCATATTTGCGGTGGCGCGTGTGCGGCATCGCTAAATGCCTTGATAATAGCCTATATCTGCGCGGCAACAGGGTCGTACGCGTTTACAACCCTCGGTTGGCCATCCTCCGGTGTTATAAACTTTATTATTGGCGATCGTGATCGTATAATGCGATGGCGCGCATAAAATGTTTCGATTCGATTAGGTGAGCTTATAAGAGTACATATATACTTTCAACATATAGACTTGGTCAGCTTTTTACCCACATTTGTAGAAACAAATAAACTTTGTTGGAATTTATTTGATTTAGAACTGTGGAATCTTTGTGAAAATATGGCGATATTTTCGCAAATCTTCGACATGAGCTTTCGCACAAAGTGGAGCACGTCCGGAATGGCGTATTCACAATTTTAAAATAGATTTATACTTTTGTTTACGTCGAAAGCTTCGAAACAAAGAACTCTCGAAATAGAAACGTCTTCGCAGTTATGCTTTACGAGTTTAAACCTGAATTTTCTCCTGCAGAATTTCATTTCCGTGAATATTTTCATATATTTTTTACTTAATATAATAAAATACTAGACTTTATTCACTCAAAATGTTAAATTAATGAAAAAATTGTGCGTTTGTGCTGAGATTTAAATTTTAAATTAAACACATACCTACGCATGCTGCGAAACAAAATGGCGATGGTGGAATTTATGTCGTCCTGCGCCAATTTGTTGGCCAGCGCAAATATCAAACGTAATGACGGACTTGTGAAGAGGCCCCCGGATATTACCCTCTGTCACGATATTAAAATAAAGCCGAGTGGCGCAATTTTAAAGGAAAAGGATGCCGCGTACGCACTTCGCCGGCCTCTTATTATGTGCGCGAGCCTGTTTGATTAAAACCCCAAAAACCCGACCGCCCCCGCGCGCTTGTACCTTCAGCTTGTTACGCCTGTCATCTCACTCGCACCCAACACCCACCGCACGTGGATGTAGAGATGTGGCTGGCATTCGGATTCAAATTCTTTGTTTACAATTTGAGAGCCTTTATGTGCGCAGGATAAAACTTCGTCATTGCCATTGTTACGCAGGGGTTGTGTTTGAGCACGGGCGAAATCTTTTAGCCTTTTGTTTCCGCACCGAGTGGATTTAATATTTTTTTGAGTGCGTTTTAAACGTTTTAAAACTAAACTAAACTAGATATACACATAGCGCGTATATTTTGCGTATTGCCCGGCGCCTCCACGTAATATTCTTGCGTGCGTCAAACGAGATTTTAATTGCCGACGGTGCATGCATGAGTTATAGGTGTTGCTGGCTGTCCCGAGGGTGGGTTTTTCTAACGGTGTGTTCTCCTTTTTTTTATACGCGCCCTTTGGCCTGCCTGCGTCGTTTTTGTCGTTTGTCGCCGGCCGTTTTCCGGAACAGCGCCGCCGTCGCTCATTCCGTTTTGTCGCGCGCGCGAGTTTTTTTTAATTTAACACCCTTGGTACATTCGCGTGTACTCGGTGCATTGTGCGCCACGGCCGGCGAAAGGATATAATTTATTAGGGAAAGTAGAAAATAAACGAAATTACGGCTGTACACAAGGCGCGCGCTTGTTACGCAAGTTGTGCCTTGGCGTAATTGTACAATGTACACGTCGCTGACACAAAAAGACAAAAATAAAAGAGTTCTGCACATGATTGAAAGCCATTTTATATATTTTATATTTTTTGTGTATTTCTAATACATCAATGTCTAAAAATATAAAAAATATTTTTTGGTGATTAAAGTTTAGTATTTCAATAGAAAATATATTTTTAATCGTAAAATAATAACTGTTAGGATTTATTATTCTACTTTATGCTAAAAACATACCTACGTTGTCAGAAAAGATCATAACACATGTAAATATCATGTCTTTTGAGTCTTTGAGACATAAAATAATATTTTACGCGTTTGTCCAAGCGTTTTCGCCTAACGGCGCCATTAACCACCGAATAAAAAATTCAACCGCGCACGCGTTTGCCGCAAAATATTTATACATCTGTCCAGCCGTAAAAAATTGCTTTCCCGACGTGATAAATAATTTATTAGACGCGACGCGCAAAGTAAAAAGTTATAATCTCCTCTGACAAGATGACGCGCGGTGACGTCAAATCTTTTGGGAAATTGGATCGTATTGATTGGATTTTAAGAACGGCGGAAAAAATACAGCGCGAAATTTGCAAGGGTTTGCGCGCTATTGTATATAAATAAGATTTTTATGTAAATCTTTCGGGTGTGCGGGGGCGGAAAGCTGTCGCCGCGTAGTCAGCTCTCTTGTTATGAGCGACGGACCCTTAGTGCCGAGTGTTATTGCGTTATTGGTTCCTTAGGAAAAGGGTTTCGGGTTTAGTGGGCTTTGTTATGTCACGGGTCTATTCAGGCCGGAAAAGTGTGAGATCATGTAGTGGAATCATCGTAAACCAAACTAAAATCACAAAAAAGGAAGAAAAAAAACACGCAGACTGGAAATATTTTGGATAATGCTACCAGTTGATTAGATGCTTTTTGTAGTTGTTACTTTTAATGTGATGTAATTTTATTTTATCCGAAGGAGAATGTTATGTGCAAATGTGCGACCGACTTGCATTCAGCACTAATTTACTAGAATGGCGGCGCTTTATTCACTGCGGAGTGGAGTTCTTCATTGTTAAGTATAAATTACTCGTACAATGAGTCTGGCAAGCAGGAAAACAGGACTATTCTATGTCAAATGGCGGACATGGAAAGTCCAAGGACAATTTATTCAAGTTTAAGATTAGCAGGATGATTGTTTTTGGGAAAAGTGTCATTGTAGGTCAAAAAATTAAAAATTAAATTCTGAAAATAATTTATCTTAAAAAAATGACAAAAATTTATCATATTTTTAAATTAAAAATCAAAAATTAGAATTTTTAAGTCGCAATTTTTAAATTTTAATTTTTTTTTTTCATTTTATTGTAAAAAAATTTAAATCAAAAATTTAGAACACAAAATCCAAAAATTTTGATGTTTCTTTGTTATTTTCTTCAATTTACCCATAAAATATACTATTATATGCTTCTAAAATACTGTATTTTATCCACGTGGTGACATAATATTTCATTTACCAATTTAAAATGTTTTTTCCGGTAAAAAGCTCGATTGAACGAGCAAATAACACACGTTTTTTTTGCACCCTGGCACAGTAATCACTCGGGCGGATATATCTTTCTTGATAGCATCGGAATTGAGTTGTATTGCGCACGGCGCGACGCGGCCGGATTTTGATAGCTTTCAATTTATGTGTTTAATGGAAAGATCTATCTGCTTGCCTAGCCATAAGCCAATACCGCGCAGACTCTGATCCGTTCTGCCAATATAAACGTCCGACATATGTCTATACACGAAACTCACGAAACATCTCTTAAATTACCTACAAGTAACCAAATAATTTTATCACTTCTTACAAAATTCTAATAAATTTCCAGAAGCTCTCGATAATAAATAAGTGCATATACTGCACCAGGTGCATAGCAGTATTAATTAAATTTTGAGCCAAATTGTGCGTCAAGCTGTTGCCACCTGCAAATAAATATAAACAAACTCAAAGTTTCTGCATGGAGCGCGTAATAACTAACTCTAATATCCAATATAATATCTTAGCGCAAGGATGCTTGGAAATATGCTCTATGGCTTGTGTTGTGCTGTGTGCATTTTAGGCGCAGAAGGCTACGATACTAAATAAATTATGCCCGTCGACAAAAGGTACGTATGGATTTACCGATTCGCGAATTCCCCCCGGGCGCCCAAAAAGGGATGGTTTGTGCTAAAATCCACCCCCAACCCCAGCGATTGCGGATTGTGTGTCGAATGTGTGTTGTGCGCCCGCACAACATGCGATCATGATGTTGTAATATCGCCATTCGAGGGTCTCTTGCCCGCCAGCACGTACGTTATGAATTATGTACCAGCACATATACAAGGGTGGCAAAGACGCCGGCGCCATCTACGAACAGATTAAATCCGCGCCACGCCACAGCTTCGACGAATTAATGCCAAATAATGAGAATTAATTATATTGGTTAATGGATTTGCGCGCTAATCCACCAGCACAAAACAACCAGCGTTGCATATTTGAGCAAACTATTAAACTTTCAATTCGATTAAACTTTATCAAAGAATAAATGAGTTTTATCTTTATTACGCACGTGTTGAATTTAGTTAAATACGTGTAATTAACATAAACAATTGAAAAGCGACAAAGGGGTGGTTTTAGCTGGAGGGTGTACTGATTCACAGGAGTGTATAAAGGATTTTAGATGTGGAAAGGTAAAGGGAAAGGTAAAAGCTGTGCTTGCGAAAGCATTATTTTATTTTATTTCCACGTTAATTAGTTTAGATGGTCTATGAGGTTGCGCCACGCGCTTCAAACGCATTGTTCAACCAGCCACAATTGGGCTGGGCAACCTTCCAACCCTCAAAACCTTAGAGGTACGAAATTCAATTTCAGTCGCTTGGCACACGACAACGTTTTCCATTCATTCATCTTATTAAATTAAACTAAAATTTTTTTTGTGAAAATTTTGAAGAGAAAGTTTTGATAAATTTATATACTTTGGTGTAAAGTTAATGAAAGTTGTATGTGCACACATCGCTAGATATGAGTCTAATTATCTAGACTAGTTAATTAAATATATGTAGAAAACTATCCGCAGCGCTTCGCCTCATCCATTTATTGCTTGTTAGCGCCCGGAACGCAAATTCTATGCCGGTCGCGCTAGTTTGAATAGTTTAATTGCGTTTATGTTTGTCGAATCTCGCATATCACATCGCGCGCACACACGCCGCACGTGTTTGAGGAGTTGGCGCGCGGATTCGGATCAATTAAAACTCTTCAATTCGTGCGCGCTCGAGTTTCTCACAACTTTCAGCGCGCGCGGCGGCAACTTTTGCTAATTATTCCGCATGCTCGTCCACTGCAGACGTATGTTTGCATAGATGGATGATAGAAAGTCAAGTTAAGAATTCATCAAAAGGTCAAAATCACAAAAGAAAAAATTTCACTTCAAAATAAAATTGTGAAGGCGCCGGGTTAACATAGGTTTCATACACTCGGTGGAAATGAAACACAACAGAACTGGTTGGGGAGCGAGTCAGGAGCTCGGCCGTAAAAGCGAAACTAAATATGCGAATCTTGATTTAATTACGCACAATACGTCCCAAAGCTCGCCGGCGTCGCGGCGCATAATGGAAACAGAGCTTGGATTTATGAAAACACAACAAACTGCCCGATGGTTAAGGGTTGCGTTGATTTCACGCCCATCCTTTCCAATTACGCCCGAAACTTGTTACCGGTTCCTGCCGCCACCGCCGCCGCCATGCGAAATAGAATTATAATATGGCAATCAAAACAAGCGGTCACCTAAATTGTTAATTAATTTTCCTAAAACACGCCGGCGACTTTTACGCGTTTTTGTTTGGTTTACAACTAAATTTATACTAAGCTGGCGAGTTAAGTAGTACTTTCGGAAGTTGTTGCCACAAACTAAAGCCGGTGTAAACGTTTTTTACGATTTTTAGTAGTTGAAAGCTTTCGCCCGCTGGGTTTTAGTAAATATAATGCAATTTTCAAGAGTTTAATGTGTTTTAATGCTTGTACTCACCAGCTGGACTCTCGTCGATCCAGAATGAGTCATCCAGCGTGTAATCCGCTTCTGAAACATAAAGAATTCATTAGTAGATTGAAGTAGAATTATTTTTAGTTTTGAGATTTATAAAGTTTTGTAAAAAAAATTCTAAATTCCAAGCACATACGCTTGACGCTTTATTGACGTAGCCTAAAATCGGCTAGGTTTTGTTTCGTTTCGTGCGGAAACGTTTTCCGGTTTGCCGGGGAATGATCGAGTCTTGCGGAGACAAGTAAAATAATCGTAATCTCGTCACGTCCTGCGACGAACCATCAGCGATGCTCGGCGCCAGATAAAGACATCGGGGGCGCAGGATCTCCATTATCCTTGGCTCGGCGAAATTGGGCCGCTTTTAACCGGCGTGTGCCCTCTTCTCTCATCTAATCTAACACTTTTTACACTCTGACTCTCACACACGTTGGAATCCTAGAAAAGTAATGCGTGTGTGCGTGGCAGTTAGGATCGAGGTTAGAATCGAATGTTTGCATTCGAATGTGTTCATACAATTATGGCGGCGCGACCTTTTCGACATTTCAGTCGTAATAGAATCGAAGGGCGCGCGTGTCGTTGAGTTTAATAGAAAGAATAAAAGCTGAGATTTTTTTGATGCAGAAGGGAGGTAACTAATTGTTCATAAAGGTGGAGAGGATGGAGTGAAGTGCCCGAATGACCTGTAGTCGCTCTTACAGGTTATTATTTTCCAATTAACTGGATTAGCCTTTGTGATATTGAACGTCAACATCAAAGGTAAAGGTTGGTTGCAAACTGCATTTCTGGGAAATTTCAATAAGCCACTACGGATCAAATTGCGCAACGTACATGGAATTTCTTAATTACTAACTACCATCGGAAAAAATAAGTAAAAATGGTATTTATCCAAAAAATAGTTTATTACTTGCCTAGAGTAAAAAATGATTTTAGGTTATTTTTTTCGTGAAGAATTTGATGTAAAACATTGAAAAATTAAGTTTTTTCAAAATACGATGTGGAAAACACGGTTTTCTAGTAGTGTTGTACAGAAAACTGTGTTTCCAAGACAAGAGTTAATAAAAACTTTATTTAGCAACATAAAAACAAGTTAAAATTTTGTATTTTAATGTAAAATAATGTTTTATTTGTAAACTAGCTTTAACCCGCGGCTTCGCTCGCAAATATCTAAAATAATGAAGTTGCTTCCGTACGCGTCTGTAGTCACAGAAGATGTAACAATGAAGTAGAATGGCGGAAAGTTTAAAATGGCTGAAAGTATAGTCTATGAAAGTATAGTGTACAGTCTCCATAGTGTAGTCAATTGGATTTGATGTTGACGTAGCTGTCGGTAATACAGTGTGATAATACAGTGTGATGGTACTATAGTACTTAGGTTTGAGCTTCATTGCTGGAATGCTAGATGGCGTTAAAGTAGTCAAATAGCCAGATGCAGAGGTATTATTGGCTAAACAATTTCTTTACTTTATTTAAAAAATATTTTTTTTATTAAATAAAAAGTAACCTATAACCATTCGGGGACCACTAAGAATATGTGTACAAATTTTCATGATGATCGGTTAAGTAGTTTTTGCGTGAAAGTGTAACAAACATCAGGACTTTCGCATTTATAATATTAGTAGGGATTATGTTTTGAAATCAATTTTTTTTTATTCTTGAGCAAATTAAACCAAAAAATGCAAAAAAAAAAAGTTTTTCAAGCAAAAAATAGAAAAAACAACAATTACCAACATAGCAACAACTTAAAACCTAGTATTCTCCTGTAGAATAATATTTTAGCTGTAAGTAATGTTTCGAAACTTGCATATTTACTTTCCCAACAATTCTGTGCACTCACAAGTTTCTAACGCAGAAATGCACTCCCAAATACCCACCAAAATTTCCACCCAAGACAAATGCTATTATGTGAATTTATTTCCACTCCCAAAAAGTAAATATTAACCACCGCACAGCTTTAATTATTATGTTATAATGTTGTTTTTGGCAAAACTCACTCTTGCGCTTGCGCGCGCATGGTGAAAGCGAACGCAAAGTTAATTACACTCTAGATAAACTAATTAAGGACCATGCTGTCGTGGCACTTCAGCGGCGCGCCGTGACGTGTGACGTTTTCCAAACGCCCGCCAAAGTCCGACCAAGGGGGACAAAGTCCTATCAACCCTGAAACGCTCCGATAAAGTTGTGTGTACGTGCGCATCCACCCCCGCACACGCCAAGATGCCTATCGGTCTCTCGCGCGCCGCACTGATGTATGAATATGGTAATTGAACCACGCCAGCGTCGATATTTTTCCACGGTGTGTGTGCGCTTTTCACGCGCGCTGGATTCCTGATTGAGTGATTAGTCGATGTGTCGCGTCGTCCGATTCAGAATCCCAACGCTTTGCCGATTATTAAATGCGACGGTAAAGCGTAGGAATTCTAAATCACACAACTGACAAAATTTTTTATTTAAAAAATTTTTAATTTTTAATTAAATTTATTTATGTATTACTTGTGATGTTGCGCGTTTGGTTTAATTAGCTGTTGATTGTTCACTTGCAACTGATAGCGAAGAATACCCTGTGATGCTGCAAGTTGTTAATTAATCTCATTGCGAGCGTATTCCCAAATTAGATTATACGCAGCGCACTGCGTGAACTTCTTGTTTTCGGAGGCGTAAACAGACTTTACATCGATTAATTAAGCCGCGTCAAAGTTATACCCAATTGGTTTCTATTTTCGTACAAATTTTATTTCAAACAACATTATCTCACGATTTAGGAATTAGAACAGCGGCCGGTAATGAATCAAATTATAATAAATAATGATCTCTCGTTGGCGATTGGTTTCGGTGCAAATTTCTATTAAATAACCGGTCGTGCAGGCATTTGAATGAAGGTAATGACATTCGGTTGCAATCGCTGTGGAAATTACGCTGCTGCTGTGGTTATACAAGCGTGAAATGCTAAATAACAATGCGATTATTCAATACGCATGCAGATACTCATACACATTTTAAAATAATTATACGATTGTATAATCTACGTGAAATATCTGTGTTTATAATTGTGTGTGAGTCCGAAAAGTTATTTTAGAGATTGTTTTGTCGCATGTCGATTTTTATCTGTCAATTGAAGCGTGGAAAAGCAACGAAATGCTTGAAAAATGTCTGCATCGATGCGTCCGCGTCCAGAATCTCGCGCATGCTTAAATCCGGAGTTAACACCGCGCCCCGGCGCGCAAAAATCCAACGTATTCAGTTTTTATCAAAAAACATGCCGGGCGCGCGGCGCAGAGGCAGAAAGAATTTCGATTCGATTTCGGTTCGTTGATTTGTATATTTACATTGCCATTTTCCACTCAGACTTTTATATTCAATTAGACACGGATGGAAAACTCCGAAACTCGGCGACGTCCGATTGCAGGCGATATCGACATGACTTTTAGGAATCGTCCGCGTTACGCATGCATAAAAATTGCGAAATTTCACGTCAAAGTCATAAATATTTTTTACATTTAAGTATAGGCAGTCAATCGGTTTAAATTTTTGAATTTGTCACAAATTAATTCGCAAAAGTCTTCATTCTGTATGAAAATGATATTCTTAATACTTAATAACTTCCTGTTTGTTGATTATACAATCGTAATTCCAAAATGGGGTAACTTACATCTCTCCCCTTAGGAGTTGCCACACGCAGTCCCCGAATATAATTCCATTTGATTACATAATTTGCAAACAAATTAGCGCCGCTTGTCTGGTGATATTAAATTTGAGGTAAGCAAACAAATATTTGTTGATACCCAAAACACGCCTATATTTACGCATTAATAATAATACTACAAGGAAAATATGCGTTTAACATTTTGACATTTCGTATTATTCATTGTCTATTTCTACATTGGCGATGGTGAAGGCGCCGGGCAACACGCATAAAGTTCAAAATAACAAATGTAGCGCCGGATTCCGGAATGACTAAATGGTTGAGTGACAAATTAAAATAGTTTTCAATTAATCTGGCCGGGGCGCAGAGTTTACTTAAAAGCTGCGAACGTATAATTTGCAGATTTGTCTGACTCCAAGCGCGCACCATTCACAACTTTTGCCACACTGATTCCAAATGCATAATTTATGTCCGAGATATGCTGCCGCGCGAGTTATGTGCCGCAAGTGATGCAAGTGAAGATTCTATTAAATTTAAACGCGCATAAATCAACGCAGATGTCTGCAGTTTACACAAGAAGAAGTGTCGGACCGTTTTCAGACCAATTTATTTACTTCTCAACTTATTTCTTGCAACAAAAATATTTAATACTGGATATTATTCACTATTACATTTATTTTCGCTAAATTTCCTGCTAAAAATCATTATTTATTTATTTTTAATTTTTTTGCAAAAAAAATTTTTTTGAAAAAAAATCATTCTATGTCCTTCGCAATATCTTTGAGAAGATGTGTGCAAAATTTTATGTTAATTGATTGAGTGGTTTTCGCTGGAAAACGTAACAAACAAACAAAATACAAATTTTCACGTTAATATTATATTAATAAGGATTGTGGCGTCAATAATAGCATTATTAATATATAGCTTAAATCATGATGTTTATCATCATCCCATCAACGTTTATGATGAGCATCGGAATGAACGGGTATAATCGATAGGGGGCGACACAATTGAATCGGACAAAGCGGCGACGGGGTCGCAAATATATCGGCCAAACGCATCCCGGATCCATCTAATAGCCAAGCCGTCCCCAAACTCGCTCGCATTGTGCGACGATATCACGTCGGCCAGGATAGATTTATAGTAACTCAAACTACATTATAAGCGCGGCGCAAATTCTAATTCACTTACGTGGGATTCCGCTTCACGTAGCCACATGGCCGTGTACATTTATAAGCTGGCATTGTCCGCAGCCAGCCGGGTATGCGATGCGCGCGCGAGGCCAGAAACCCAAATATAATTTATGTGGAGGCGCCGGGCAACACGCGCAGGCACATATAGCGAGATGGTGGTGCTCAAATTAATTAACTGCGTACACACTCATTTATTTTTCTTT